AATACAGAGTCATTTAAATGCTAATGAGATGAAATCGAAATGCATAAATCCAATATTGTCAAAATGTTCTCCTGGATTCTGAAGGTCCTGGCACTGTCAAAGCCTAAAGGGAACCTCAGAGAGCACTAGTCAAATCTCGTCACTTTCCACATGGAGAAACTGAGGTCCAGGGAAGAAAGGGGTTTGGTCAAGTTCATGCTGCAAGAGCGTGGAAAACAGGGAGGGGCTTTCAGTGGGCTCTGGCCTCAGGTGGTTATGTGACCTCTAGTGTGTTGCTCATCCCCTCTGTGCCCAGAACTGGTCCTATGCCCTGCCCAGGCCCTGTCTCATTCCCTGCAGCCACTATAACAGAATACCATAGACCAGGTTACTTAAATGACAGAAATTTATTTCTCACAGCTCTGAAGACTGGATAGTTCAGCTCAAGGTGCCAACCGATTGGGTTCCTAGTGAGGGCCCTCTTCTGTCTCACTATGTCCTCACATCCTTGCTGTTCTCCTGGATTCTGAGAGATTTGCAGAGAGCCTCACCAGTGAGGTTAGATGACTTCTCCAAGGTCACACCACTCATTAAATGTCTCAGCTACACAGTGATAGTTCAGGTGGTATTTGGGCAAGGCAGCAAGGATGTCAGAGCTGAGAAAGATCTTCTCTCATGTCACTTTCTATAAGAACACCAATTCCATCCATGAGGGCTCCACACTCATGACCTAATTGTCTCCTAAAGGCCCCACCTCCTAATATCATCACATTGGGAATTAGGGCTTTAACATGTTAATTTGGAGTAAACACATTCAGTCCATAGTAGCCTGTGTGCCTGTTTTTTAGGGCAGGAGTGAGTGCAGTGTTGAGAACTGGCTGCAAATGAACCTCATCGCAACCATAACAGAGCTTCACTTCTAATAACAGGGTGGGAGGGGAAGGTACAGGAGCCTGCATTGTAGGGCCTCCATACATCCTCATGGCAGTCTGTTAGACAGATGGATCAACTCCAGTTTGCAGAGAGCCTCACCAGTGAGGTTAGATGACTTCTCCAAGGTCACACCACTCATTAAATGTCTCAGCTACACAGTGATAGTTCAGGTGGTATTTGGGCAAGGCAGCAAGGATGTCAGAGCTTGGTGAGCTGTGACTGAGGGGACAGCTGCCTACTCCAGCCTCACACCCAAGCCTCATTATGATGAAAGGCACCTGGGACATGGAGGGCAAGGGTGCATCTCAAAGAAAAAAGTATGACTACCAATTGTGATATCTTTCCTAATCTCTAGCAACCTGTAAGATAGGCATTCTGAGGAAACTGAGATCCAAGGACTTCCAATTGATGGATGACCCAGTGGCCAATCTAGACATTCATTCATTCATCAAGCATTTATTGGGAGCCTTCTGGATGCCAGGTACCATAGTAGGTACAAAAGTGACATGACTACTGCCCACTGGGGAAGGAAGACAACTAAGCAGGTCTAAGCAATAGCATGTGAAGTGTGGTATGACGCAGGAGGCATCTAGTGGTTAGGAGCATTTACATAGCCCTGCAGGGTCAGGGAAGGCTTTCAAGTAAAGGACATTGCTGAGCAGAACCGGTCAGTGTCAAGGCAGCAACGGCTGGGTGAATGGAAAGTGTTCCAGTCTAGAGAATTCAGGAAACTGATAGTTTCTACACTAACAGGCAGGTCTTCAGCTCTGTCCATCTATTAGAATATCCATTTGGGAGGCCTCATATAAGTACTTCTGGGCCAATGGACTTCAAGTTCTCTAAGCAAGGAAATCCTACAGTTAGATCAAATACCAAAGTGAGCTCTGCAACTTAGAAGGAAAAACCAAGATGCCCAGAACAGGGCTGGTCTCATGCATACATTGGTGACATGCAGGAGCAAGGGGTGACAGTCTGAGGACAAGCCACATCAAAAGAGTAACTACAGTGGGAAATCTCAAAGAAGGAAGTTTAAGATCAATCATCTACAGTGTTAAAATTCTGACTTTTAACTGATTTTGCTATTCCAGCATTTCATTCTTCTATATCTGCTCATACAGGTCCCTTTCTGAACCTTTTATTATATCTCTCCTGACCCTTCACTAGTAGATAATTGTATGCTTCAACTTCTTCTATGTCCATCTTTTGGCTTAAGGCCTACTTAACCTGAAGAGGGGAAAATATTCCCTACTCATCTTCCCTGATACCCTGAGTCAGATCAGATCTTTCTTCTCTGGGTGTCTATAGCACCTGGGACTCACCATCATGGCAAACCCATCAAGTTATATAGAAATTACCCATTTAATTGTCTCTCCTCTCTACTGTCAGCTCTTGGAAGGCAGGGATCATGTCTGGATTCTTCGGTGCTTGAAACAGAGTAGATTCCCCAAATAGTTATAGAATGGATGGATGGATGGATGGATGGATGGATGGATGATGGACAGATGGACGGACAGGTAGATGGGTGGATAGATGGTTGAAGATCATTATTTATCATAACATAATCATCATTAAAATTACCAATAGGCCATTATTAACTCATTCTTACAATTGCATCACAAATATAATTACTGCTAACGCTTCTCATGGCTCGTGCTGTCAGATGTAATTATGAGTGTGTCTAAGCCACACCACAGGTATCAGAGTGACAGATAGAAAACAGTGCCTCAAGTTTAGAAAGTCCTTCATGGTTTACAAAGCACTTACATTCACATATGACACTTTATTAAGTATCCTAAGAACCCCACGAGGGAGTTTCACCAGGGAGGGTAGCAAAGTGTCCTGATTAAGAAAGAGAATCTCTGGACCCAGAGAACCTGAGTTTAAATCCCAACTCCACCACTCACTAGCTGTATGACCTTGGACAGATCTTATCACCTCTCTTGGCCTCAGTTTCCTCATATGTTCTATGGGGATAATAAGACCGTCTGTCCCCTAAAGCAGTTATATGGGTTGGTAATAATCACAATAACTATGGAGTGCTTATTCAGTAATTACTAGGCTCAGTTGCAAGTATTTTACGTGAAATAACTAATTTAAACCTCACAATACCTGTGAGGTAGATACTATTATTCCCCCTCTCTTTTTAACGATCATACAAATAAAGTTAATTTGCCTCCCTTCCTGCTGGGAGGTAAAGGAATCAGAATTTGACCAGAAAACTGTGGCTTCTAGAGCTCCTACTGTTAACCTCCACAGCACCTATACACGCAGGCATCCTTGGACTCTGCCTCATCTGTGGGTCCCAGTGTAAAGATAGGGCTTCCGGCTGCAGCCGTGGGTAAAAGCGCCCTCCTGGAAGGCATGGCCATCTCTCCTGCAGCTCCAGCACCCCCACCCTTAGCTAGGAAGTGCCATACCCCAGATTGAAACATCAGATTTGAACATGGTTTATAGTTAACTCCCAGGAAATTAGGAGGCAGCAAGAGGAGATTGCCTATTGTCTTACATATGAGGAAGCCAAGCCTCAGTAAAGCGGAGGGGCTTGCCCAGGGTTCCACAGGGCTTGGGAGAACTCGGATGGGAACCCAGATTTCGCAGACTCCATCCTGTGTTCTTCACTGAACTCAGGCACAATCTACCCACCAGCCTTGTCTCTTCAAGAGAAAGGAGAGAGTGCCCCTCAGGGGAAGGAGACAGAGCACCAGGGTGGGAGTCCGGAAACCAGACACGCAGGCTCCTCTGCTTTAGCTCTTTGTGGCTCTGGACAAGGCCCTTTTCCTCTCTGAACTTCAGGAAAATGAGATTAACTCTAAAATGTCACCAGCTCTGAAATTCTGTGCAAGAGGAAAGGATTGCAAAGGAGAGAGGTGGGGCAAGGGAGAGGCGACAAGAGGGAGAAGCTGGGGATGGAATGTGGGCTCAATCCCATCTTTCTCCTCCATTCCCCCTCACTGTCCTGGACCTAACTGGCCAGCTGTCTGAGACTGCTGGGTGGAGCCAGTTTCCGTGCCAGGACCAGCCGAGCTCAACAGGGGCCCTTTGTCACCCAACGCTTGCCAGGGCCTTGGCCACTGGTGTTGGGTGTCCAAGCAGATTGGATTCTCTCCTGGCAGCCCTGCAGATGCCGCACTCCTGCAAGGGTGGCCAGGCAGGCAGAGAGAAGCCAGTCCTCCCTCCTCTTCCTGGGCTCCCAGAGGAACGTGGAGGCCACCATCTATGGTGCTGGACTGTGAGAGCCCCCAGGTGAGGTCTTCCTGAACCCCAGCTCATGCTTTGGGCCAAGCTGTGGGCTCAATGATGTCCTGGTGAATATGCATGAGCTGGCTCCTCTGGCCCAGCCAAGAGCTTTAATTAATGTGATTGGGGGCTTAGGGTGTAGGTGGGTGGCTTTCTCCCATCCCCATGCCTGTAAGACCCAAGTGGAGAGGACAGTGTATGTCAGCAGGTGTAGGTGGCATGGACATGGGTGGCATCTATAGGTGGGGAGTATGCCCCAAATTGTGTGGTCATAGGATGTGTGTAAATATGTTGGCATAGTGAGAGAAAAAGGGGCCTGTGTGTGCACAGAGGGGATGTGAACACAGGTGTTTTTGAGGTAAGGAGGTTGGGATGTTAGGTGTATGCCAGAAGTGTTACTGCATGTAGCACTGTGTGTGACAGAGAGGGGGGTGTTTACCAGCATGTGTGGGAAGTGGGGCTTGTGAATTGTGTGTGTTTGGCAGTGTGGTAGGCCATAAAAGTAGGTGGATTGGGTGTTGCAGGGCACCCTGAACCTATGGATCTGAGGGTGTATGTGCACCAGAGTACGTGTTGTGAAGTCAGCATGTTACATAGCACAGTGGACAATTAGGAAATTGGGTATTTTATGCGTTGGGGGGGTGGTATATCATGGGGGTCTCCAGGAGAGTGCCAGTATGTTAGGATTTATAGTACATGCTGGTTTGTTATGGGGTGTCATACAAAACACCCGCATTAGGGTGCTTGGGTGTCACTTTGGGTGGGCACATATACACTGGGCCTTCTTGAGCACCCATCTCAGAAGGCCTCCAGTTCCTAACTCTTGTCACCACTCTGTGCTTGCCCCACAGGAGCCACCATCCCTGACCATGTAGATGCCAGCTCCGGGGAGCAGCATGGGCCCCGCTGAATGGAGACTACTGGGACTAGAGCCCTGAGCCCCTCCAGCCCCTGGACTTCACCCTGCACCCAGAGACACCCCTTGGAGTTCACCACTGCTGCTGTCAGTCCACCTCGACTGCCCCCTCCCCCTGGGACCCGGAGTCGGCCACCAGGAGCTGCAGCCATCCAGTGAGGTTGTGCTGAGGACAGCCACACAGAGCCATCACCCAGTAGCCTCTGGTCCAGTGCTGACCCTCGGGCCCACCCTGAGCAGGGACTGTGGCAAACATGGGTGACATGACCAATAGCGACTTTTACTCCAAAAACCAAAGAAATGAGTCAAGCCATGGAGGCGAGTTTGGGTGCACGTTGGAGGAGCTCCGCTCCCTCATGGAACTGCGGAGCACTGAGGCTGTGGTCAAGATCAAGGAGACTTACGGGGACACCGAAGCCATCTGCCGGCGCCTCAAAACCTCACCTATCGAAGGTAGGTGTGGGGGACTCAGACCCAGGGCTGTCGTCTTGGTGACTGCCATTTGTGTTGGCTCCAGGAGCAATATGCATAATATTTAACCTCAGGGATGTCTTGGACAGGGGCTGATATGCCAGTATGGCCATTCTGGTGTTTTCTAGCTGAGGGTCAGCCCCTTTGGATAGGCCAGAGGATGGGGCTTCCATTTTCTCCCTATTGTACGTTGGGGTCTGACCCAAGCCACCTGCAGAGAGAACCACAGGAACAGAGCTGGGTCAGGGGGTATGTTCTGGAAACCAGATGCCAAAATCATCCAGAATGGGCAACTCACATCCACTTCAGGAGTGGGCTCATCAGCCTGGAAATCTGAGAGGCACCCAGTCTCCAAGGCGGGGCCAGAAGGGAGGCTGGTGGGGCCAGAAGAAAAGCCAATGTCTTGCTTGCCTTCGTCAAAGCTCAGGCGGGGCTCCTGTTTCCCCCTCCCCCATCTACAGGGGTTGGATTCCAGGATCCTCCCTTCCCCAGACCCCTAAAATTCCCTTTTCTGGGCTCCAGCATGGAACCACAGCATTGCTGCAATGCAGCCAATTCCAGCTTCCCAACCCCTGCCCCTGGGCTGGGTCCTCTCTGAGTGTCCTAAATCCAGACTCTGACTTGGGGACTCCTAGGTCTCCAGGCAGCCATAGGCCTTGAAACTGCTGGACAGACAGGGCAGCAGGAAGATGGGCCATCACAGGAAGGGTGACAGGTGCTATGTCTGTCTTGCCCTTGACATGGGTGTGGGACTTTCTTGCAACCGCCAAAATAAGTAGACCTGCAACTCCAGAGAAAAGATTTTAACCTCCTGAGAGCTTCTCTGGAGGGGGCCAAAGCCCAGCCGTCTACCATGAGGCAGAGAGGAGAAAAAGCAGTCCAGCTCAGTCATCAGCACTCAGTTTGAGTCTCCATCCCCAAATGAAGGAAAAGAGTTCCCCACATGAACACCAAAGGCATGATGTGAGGCTCTTCTCAGGGAATCCCCAGTCCTATAACTGTGCAAAGAGGCTGCATCAAGCCTCAGTTTCTTTCTCTGGAAAATGGGGTCAGCACCTACTTCACAGTGCCTTGTGGAGACCTGAGAAGGCAGTAGGTGCTCAACAATTGGCAGCCATATTATTCTGAGGAGAGTGGATGAAAATTCCTCCCCCAGGTATAGACCACAATCTGAGAGGCAGGAAGCATCTGAATCCTTATCCCCATATGACAGAGAACAAATCTGAGGCCAGAGATTCCTCTCACTCCATCTCCTAACTCCAGTCCCCATGCCTTGTGCATGGCTGGGCACTAACCCTGAATGCATTTCCTATAGAGGTTGCTTATGGACCTAGTTGCTCATCTGGGATCTGCCAGTCTGTGGTTGCCTGTGCCTGCACCCAGTAGCTTGAGGCATCTGTGTCTCTCTTCTTCTGAGTCCCTTTTGAGTCAGGAGGAAGAGCTAAGCCTTTCCTTCTTCCAAGATTGGCTACTGTCTCTGATGTTGTGCCTATGGGCTGAGCTCAGCCTGAAGTTCAGAAACACCTTTGTTTTCTTGGTGTCTGATTGTTTGGGCAGGGAGGGTAGGTGTAGGGGTGTCGAATTCAATCAGAGAAGGGGCCAAAATCTAAAATCCAGCCTAAATCGCAGGCCGAATGGTTTACTGAACAGTCATAAACTGTCATTGTGATGGAAACGCAGCGGAGTGCAGTGATGACAGCACGGTGCGGGCCACATTGCAAGGCCTGGCGGGACGGATTTGGCCCGCGGGCCTTGTGTTTGACACATGTGGAATAGAGGAAACGTCCTCTCTTCACTGTGTGTTTCTAGCTCAGGTCTTGAGAATGACCTGCAATGGAAGCAGTCTCTGCCTTGAGGCTCCTGAACCCCAGCCTGTGTGGACACTAGTCTGTGGCAGAATGGCTGTGCACACCCCCGCCATCAGGCTGGCATACCTGGCCTCCTAAGAGGCAGGGCTGCCCAAGTGGGCTCTTGTGAATAGGACCAGAAGATTCTCTTGAATCAGGAATTTTTAAGTGTCTCTGGACTCCAGGTCTGGATGGAAGCTGTGACCCTTCTCCCCAGAAAAGCATGCAACAGATGTGGCTCATACCATCAGGCCTTCACAGAGCGCCATAAAGAATTCCATCCTCGCCGAAACCGGTTTGGCTCAGTGGACAGAGCGTTGGCCTGTGGACTGAAAGGTCCAGGGTTCGATTCTGGTCAAGGGCATGTACCTTGGTTGCGGGCACATCCCCAGTGGGGGGGTGTGCAGGAGGCAGCTGATCAGTGTTTCTCTCTCATCGATGTTTCTAGCTTTCTATCCCTCTCTCTTCCTGTCTGTAAAAACTCAATAAAATATATCAAAAAGAAAAGAAAAAAAACTTGAAAAAAAGAATTCCGTCCTCCCCTCCCACTTAACAGGCTCTCACCCCCTGAGACACTGAGTGGTGCATCACCAAGCTCCAGCACTGTGTGGGGCCAATTCCAGTCGGCTCATTGTGTCCTGCACCTGAGGGCAGGAATCCTGTCCTGCTCCTCTTTATACATTCAACACCTAGTCTGGTGCCTGGCACAGAGGTGAGAAGGTAACTTGCCCATAAAACCCTGAGACATGGCCATTGAGCCGGTAGCCCACAGGGAGCAAGCAGCTCAAATGTCAGCAACCAAAACAGTAAATAATCCAGACCAAGTGCAGCACAGGCCCCAGAGCTCATGGGAGAGGTAAATGGGTGGGCAGTGAAGGTCAGAGCAGGCTTCCTAGAGGAGGAGGTGTTGGGCTACGGAGGAAGGAGAAGAGAATAAAGCAGCATTTCTGAGGATCCCATAGAATTTCAATGTGTTATAAATTAGGCATTACATGAAAAGTAAAGGGGACTCAGTTTTCTCATCTATGAAGTGAAAAGAATAGTAACAGCTTTGACTAGTGCTCTGCCACCCGCCAGCTGTGTGTCTGCCTTTACATCTTTTGTCTGACCTCTCTAAGCTTTGGTTTCCTCATTTTTCTTGAGGACCAAATGAGACCTCTGATGGGAAAGGTCTCAGAGGAGGAGGAAAGCCTGTGGTAGGGTTTACCAGAGCCCTGCTGCATTGGTCCCTAGAATAAAGTGACCAGACATCCCGCTTTTGGCGGGACAGGGTCAATTTTTAACAATTTGTCCCACGTCCTGAGGCATTTTAAAAAGTCCAAAAGATTTAAAAGATTCTTTCCAAAAATCGGGACTTTTTTAAAACGCCGAGGGACGCGGGACAAATTGTTAAAAATCGGGGCTGTCCCGCCAAAAGCGGGACGTCTGGTCACTTTAAGGATCTCCCAGAGTGCAGGTGGAACTAAAAGAGGCTTGGAAAGGGGCAGAATAGCCTAATACCACAGACACTAGATTTGGGTGCTCTGAGTTCAAATCCCAGTTCTGCCTTTACCTGCTGTGTGACTGTGGGCAAGTTACTTGACCTCTCTCTGCCTCAGTTTCCTCATTATCTCCTGTAAATGTGGAAATTGATAGTGGTTACATCATAGGATTATGGTGAGGACAAAGTGGAATAGCTTGGAAAGCACTTGGTACATGGGCAGACTAAACACCTCAATTTCCCCATCAGTAAAGTGGGTTGTGAACATTCTCATTCATTGAAATCAGTATCTAAGTGCTTAATAAATGTCAGCTCTTAATGGTCTTCATTGATTATTACTACTCTGGAAGAAGCAGTCACATTCTCCAGAAATGGTGGAATTTGACTCTTCCGGAACACTGGTCAGTGTCCCCACTGGTCAGTGCCTCACTTTGCAATGGGCTATTCTGCATCATTATTACACATGTGCCTGGAAGCAGGAGTTGTTATCTCATTTTACAGATGAGGAGCATGAGGATTTGAGGTCATCACCACAGTTCACATCAAAGCAGACTTTGAACACAGCTCTGATGGCACCCAGGTGTGCCATCAGCCCCGAGCCAGGCATGTGCACCTGGGCACAGTCCTCTAGGTGCTCTCTGTCTGGTGAGGGCCTTAGTGGGGTGGGCCACCAGGGAACTTTTTATTCTCTCTCATGTTTAGCATTTGCCCTGCCCTGTGTGCCTCTTCTGATTTATAGAAGTGCTTCGCCTCCAGCCCACCCCCTCACTTAGAGCCCTGTGGTGTGGATCTGTGCCAGCTCCACCCAGGGACTCAGGTTGGCCATTCTGACACCCCTGCTCCTAATCTGCCCCCAATGAGCAAGCCCTGGCCTCTGAATCACACTATAGGAAAGTACAGCCATGCATAAATTAGCCTTCCATTTGTCCAGCTAACTTTAAGCAAAAAGATCTCTGCATGTGATAGAGACGGTTTAAAGTCATAGAAATCTATTCCCACCCAGGGCACTGCCTGCCGCCAGCACAGGCCAGAGGCTCAGCTCCCACAGACAGACAGTGTTGGATTTTCTACCAAAAGGCCCAACTCTGAGGACAACTATTGTGTAAACCTCATCCCTGTGAGGCCAGGGGTGGCCTCTGCCCCCGACTTGAGCTTCATTTATTTCCTTTTCCTCTACTAGTTCTGTTCTATTGCGGTAATGCCTTTTTCTCTGCCCTCACTGTCCCCTTTCCTTCCACACCCTTTCACTCTGGGACATAGGGCCCCAGAAACCCAGGTTCAAATCCTGACTGTCTTACTCTTACAAGACACTGGGAGAATTTAATGTAACTCTCTGAGCCTTAGTTGCCTTATCTGTGAAATTAGGATACTAACACTACCTACTTCTCAAATATTGTTCACATGAAAGGCTTAATGCAGTGTATGGTAGACCCCAGACACTTACAAAATGGTGATATGATTGTTATCATTATGCCTAATAATTTCTTTTCAAAAACAATATGCATGAGCTCCATCCTTGTGAATCAGGCAATTAATAAGGCAGTGCCCAGCGAAGAGTTAATGTGCTGTTAGAGGAGACTTCCCAGAGTAGGCAAACACATGACAAGTCTGGAAAGATGGGTAATGGATGTTGGGGTGGCTTAAGAGATCCTGGA